ATTAAAATCGTAGTCATTGTTCGTGTATAAAAAGCTTGAAAATCCAATAGAATAATACGTACTGTACAGTACATTATACGTTGTGAAAACGTCATTAATTCGTAAATATTAAAGTATTTTATTGGTTTAGTTCCGTGTCAAATTTTGCAATAAACAGTTTATTTCATAATATTATAGTAAAGAAAGGAAGAAACAATTGCAGACGAACGATTGTTAATGGTTACATTTTATATATAAAAATATAATTTTTGTTCGATTTTGCTTTCTAATTCCTTATTTGATTAATTTTATAAAACTTTTATTATCCTTACATTTTGCCATCAGTATGTAGAATATAAATTCCATACATATTAACTTATTTTTGATAAAAGCAAGCAATTTATTAACCTATTTTGAATCTTCTACGCGTTAATTAATTATGTAAATAAATTAATTAAAATACAAAAAAATATATTTTTAAATTGCTTTTAGAGAAAATTGTATTTAAAAGAATTAAAATAATATTTACTTTAATATTGTGTTAATCTTGGTTATTCTAGATACACAATTTAAAAAAATAATGATTTGGTGGCCAAAACTGTTGACAGAAGTGAAATTATTTATTAAATAAACAAACATTAAATTGTTGTTAATTCAAGCAAAATTAATTGTACAAGAAATCATCCAATTATTGTAATATAAATTTAAATATATATTACATAAATAATATAACATAAAGATAGAAAAGTAAAAGTTTTAATCACTTTTAGATTATACAGGCCATCTAAATTTCATTTAATATATACGTATATAATCAATATAATAGTATTGAATATAATAAAATANAATATGTTTTTTTAAACTATAAATACTTCAAAATTTACGTATAATTACTTAAAATCTTTTCTAATAATTTAAGAGAGTAAACGCATTTCTTCAATATATAAAATTTGAAGATGCTGAAAATTTAATTTCTATAACTATTGATGTAACTCATTACATTGCATTTCTATTCGTCACAAAATTGTTATTTCATTCTATCATGTTCCACTTTTATATTGTGAAATATATTGTATTTATGAAAGTATAATGAATATTTAGTCATATCTTCATTTCATGAATCTTAATGCACAAAATAAAGAGCAATTCATACTGAAATAAATAGCCTTTTCATCACATAGATAATACATATAATTAATATTTAGATAAGAAAATTACATACAGATCATTTTGTTCTATAAATACTTAATCTTTAATAGCTATAATAACTTGCATAAATACTTAATCTTTAATAGCTATAATAACTTGCTTAACTCTTTATCCCATGCAAAAATTATTGAAAGTTTGACAGAGAAATAAATATCATTTGTGAATAGAAAAAATTATAAATATATAAAAAAATTTAGCATCTATTTTTCATGTTAAATTATTAAATTTGTAAATTGTTTTAAGATTGATTTCATAACCAGAAGACAGAGACAAATTGCTTACAAGCTATAAATAATAAATAAATAGTTTTTAAATTTTGTCATATAGGACAAAGTAAATTTAATTTTTTGTTTTATTTTGAAGTTTTACTTCCAATATAGTATTAATTATCAAATGAAAAAACTTTTAAAATGTTATAGAACAGATTGTCTTCTACAACTTAACATGAATTTATGTATTATTTTACTAACTTTTTATTCTCATAAGTTCATTCAGACTTCATTTTTTAAATACATTTCTGTAAATTGTCTCTAAAATTAAAATCACAATAATAATATGAAACTAAAATTTCTTTTGGTATCTTAGAAAATGTAAGTAATGTATGATAGACTACACAGTTATTTCATAATCAGAAAAAATTATGATAATACAAATTCAAATTTATTAACTTATCATGGAATTTATTTAGTTACAAGGGGGGTACAATAAATTAACACACTACAAACAGAAAGTTGAACTAATATGAATATATAATTTCTATGATGTTGGAAATTTTTCCGTAGAACTTGAAAAAACAGAGTTAAATCAGTGAATTCAGACTTGAGGCTCGTTTTCTATATTACCGCCGTAGTCCACTGACAATTTAATATACTCGTTTAAAAAATTATATACTGTTGTTATCATAGTTGGACCCATTTGAAATAGTTTGTTGTAAAATTCTTCTATAGATTTACATGCAGTCAAAATAGAAATACCGAATTGATCTCTAAAATTTATATATCCATTACATGTACAAATTAAATGGTAGATAGAAAATTGATCTTGACACATCCTGCATTGACTATTCTTAATATTTGGATACTTCGCATCGACTACTACATAAAAACTGTTCAATCTAAGCTACATATAAAATCTTTTCATCTTAAATTGGATTTGAAAATTAATATAATCGTTCGAAGGAGGAAAACTTAAATTGTTAATATACCATGAATGAAATTTTGACTTCTGTAATTTTTTTCATTTCTTGGTCGATTTAGTTATTAAACATATTTTCCACTAAAGTAGTAAATCCGAAGTTCCAATCGTCTTCTGTATTCTGTATTATTATCCCATATCACATATATGTGATATGGGATATCACATATATTATTAAATAATATATGTGATATCCCATATCTGGCCAACATAAGACTAAATTTATTATACCAATTATTTGTGTAATTCCTATTAACTTCATGGAATTCCATCTTCTTCCCTTTTGAATTGTTTATCAATATCATGGATCACGAAATTAAATAGGTAAGGTGATAATGGGTCACCTTGCAAGGGACCTCCGCATATGTCAAAAGGAGAATAAATATTTCTACCACTTTTAATTGTAACCAGTGACCAAATAAAGATTTTATCGCTTTTATAAATATTGGATCCGCATCATGTATTTTTAATTTAGCATATAGTTTTTCTATTGATATCGAATCAAAGGCCTTTTCTGGATCTAAAAAAGCTGCATAGACTTTGAGTCTTTTTCTAGAAAGATGAATTTGAATAGTTGAGAGCAATACAAAAGTTACAACTTCCGTTCCACTCCTCTTGACGAATGCAAATTGTGAATTAGATATCAAAGAATTCATTCTTGTCCATTGATCAAACCTATTCGCGAGAACTGGTATAAAAATTTTTCTTAATGTAGACAATAGAGTAATGGGTCTCTAATTACCTATAATTACTGGGATTTAGCCCATCACTCCTTTTGAATATCATCCGAAAATACAAAATCGATATGATCCTGGTTTTCCATCCCGTCCTCGGATGATATTTTTTCATCATTGACCAGAAGAAAGTATTATTCTTGTCTATTAATAGTTTTTTGTTCAACAGGTTAAAATACCTTCTTTTCTTTGCCTTTATAAGGTTATTATATTTTCTTTTTGAACCACTATATTCAATTAATCGTTCTCTTGATCTATTTTTACGGAATAATGCCAGAGTATATTCTTTAAGTCTGTTTCTTGGCCCTGTAACAGTCCAGATCAAAAAACTCCTGTTTAAACTTAGATGTCATTTTGTTTACGTATTTAATTCTATGAGGGCTTAATTCGATAATATAGTCATTAAAAATTTTGCTAATTTATTATAAATTTCACTGAAACCCACCTTTTGAACTAGCTTCATTCTGTCACCTATTTCAGACTCAAATTTTTCAATGTAATATTTATATTTCTTCGTTTGTAAATTGGCTCCTTTACTTGTCTTCTCGTTAGAAGTTTATAACTTAGTACTTGATCTAATAGTTAACTGAAGATTATACAAATTGTTTATATATACTTTTAAGTTAATGGAATTTAAAAATTGATGACAATGTGAAAAAATATCTATATTTATAATTATTGATGTATATTAGCATTGTCATTAATTCAAAATAGCAACAAAATTACTTTGCTGAAAACTTATGAATTTTGCAGAATTTTATTTTTTATACTGTATAACTCTTCTCATTTTCAAAAGCTTTAATTAAGAGTAATATTAGTATTTCATAGTTTTATATTTTTGAGTTCTTTAACAACTTACAATTATCATTACTAGTAATAGAAATGCTTAGCTTGAGGTCTTTTTTGTATAATAATTTTTGTATGAATGTAAAATTACATCTTATTTTAAAAAACTTAAATATATATAATTTTTTAAGGTAAAAACTATTTTTATTTTCTTTATATAAACATTTGAAATTCTATATCCTTTTAATTTGTTTTCTAAAACTTTAATATTAATATTATTCTTTATATTTTTATAATTATGTGAAAATAAACTTTAAATAAATTTTGTAAACAGAATTTAAAAATCCTGCAATAAAACCTTTGAACAAGTTGAAAAAGTTTTTATATTTTTTACTAAACTAAAAACAGAGTCTTTATGAAAATTCATAAATATAATAAAGAACTTAAAATTATATATAAATGTATTTTTTTTAATAAAAACCATTAATAGATTTAATTAATATAGCAATATTTATTTATACTCAAAGACATTTATACAATAGAAATAATAGTTACAAAATTCACAAATTTTTATTGTAATAAGAAAACTTATTAGCGATTTTTTTATTTTTTGAGCAAAATTTATTTTGCATCTATGAAAAGATATCACAAAAATAAGAATAAATCAATTTTAAAGCTATTTTGTTTTATAAATATATTGTTGTTTATAGTATATAATTATTGCCTACTGCATATAACAAACATTTTCATCAAGCTAAACAGGAATTATTGCCTATATGTCCCAAAACCATTTAACACTGTTTAAAAATATACAGTACTGTAAATCCATATATTTCAAACCAGTGTTTATCAGAAATAAGTTTACTGCAATGATCAATAAATACTTTTCATAGTTTTGGCACAACAATTCATTTGATATATTTTAAATTAGTTTAAATAATGCTTCTACTAATACAGTTTAACTGAATCCTTATGTGGATTTTTTTTATGATTCATTAGTCAATGATATGTTGTTTTTTTATTTCTGGATTAAACCAGTTCAAAAACTTACATAAAAAGTTTTGGAATATACTTGTATATAATTTATTGCATAAAAATTTTATATTATGCATTTTTTTAAACTCAAAAATTTTTTCATGTTTATAAATATTTTAAAATATCAATTGGAATATTTAAAAATATTTTAAAAATTAGCCAGCTTCCAAAAAAATAAATGCTTTTAGCCATTCACTCTAAGAGATGTATTTATGTATCCCTTTTATTGAATATGGTAATATAAAATGTTTTAATTACCAATTTTAGTTGAGGCCATTTTAAGTTTAGAAGAACACCTCATAAATTTTGAAGTTTTTGGAAATATGATAGATTTTTTCACCTGTGCCAGCAGGCTCCTGGCTATTTATAATAAATTTGGAATTATAAGAACAGACACATTATATATATTTAACTACAGAATTACAGAAATTATCATATTATACATACTTAATACCATTGACATGGCCACATGATAAAAAAAAAATTAAAAATAAGATGATAATTTCAAAAAAGTATAAAATATTCTTATTATAAGCTTATATATATATGAAAACAGTATATACAATAATACAACATCTAGTCCTAAATACTATCTGTAGCATCAAAATTTAGTTGCCTGAACTATAACAAGTTTGAGATCATTAGCAAAATGAGAAACATCCACAACTGAATCCACCATTTCCTGTACAGATACTATACATGGAAATTGTACTGCTGCCTTTTTTGTAGAATTGACTACTTCTTTGAGAGAATCACATAGAGAATTTGCATGTTTCATTACTTGGCTTTTAATATCATTGTTTTGAACATTTCTGTATATGGTATCACCAATATAAACTAATTTGTGTGCACTAATTACAACAAATTTACTATGGCCAATAAAGACTTTAGGTGGTTGGTTGCTTTCTATTGTCATTAAGAAAGCATCTATAGCATTTGTTAAGTAAGATAAATGAATTTCAAATTGTTCTCCATAAAATTCTAATAACTGTTGATCATTAGGATCTAAATTCGTCTGAGATTTTACTGAATAATTTTTTACTTCACTTTCCACAGGAATTTGTGACTGTTTGATTAAATTTTCAAATGATTTTTGTAGTTCTTTTGGAAGTGAAGCTTTAATTTCTTCATTTTCTTTTTCAACAGCTTCTTTAGATTCCAAATTTACATAATCATAATCATTTACTTGGTCCTTTTTGTCTAATTCCAAATTAACTTCATCTTTAGCAGGATTTTTTGGAGTGGGTGGTAAAGGTCTTGACTGAACATTTTTGGAAAAATCTGTTTTATTATCATCATTTTTTTTATTACAGTTTGTTTGTACAATATATGGTGAACGTTTAAAGATTAGAGTGCAATTACCTTGTATAAATGATGCAACCTGTCTCAAATCTTCAACAAGATTACGAGCTGTTACAACTAATTGATCAAGTTCATCATATGAATTATCATCTTCAACTGATAAAGTTATTTTCCAATTTTTTTCATCTAAAGATTTGCATAAAGTTCCTATAAGTTCATTTGAATCTAACAATGGTTTTATCAATTTTGCTAACTTATGACTAAGACACTTATCAGCAGCATGCATCGAATTTGCTAATGCTCCAAGAACAAAGTTAACAAAATCTTGAAGTGTACTTTTTATCCTATAACAAACTAATTTTATATCTTGCATTTTATTTTCCATATCCTCTTGTTTTTTCCAAGTTGCATTTACAAAACTGAAAAGTTTAATCATTGCACTTTGTACTTCTTGATGGTGTTTAACTAGCATCTCCATAGCAGCATCTAATTCTAATCTTAATTCTGATCCTTCAATATTTGGAAAATCTTTTAAATCAGTGCTACTTGAAGATAATCGTTTAGATGAATCAGATGAAACAGAATTTTCAATCTTCAAAATTTGATTGCTGTCCCTAGTTACTTGTGGAGGTACATCATAAACACCTTCTGGTATTTTTTTATGAGCAGGAAGTGGAGTTGGTGGTATATCATAAAACTGTGCTAGTGCATTATTAGTTGGAACATCATATAATTCTGTTGGAAATAGTTTAGGCAATGGAATTGCAGAATTTATTTTTGATGTAATTTGATCACTTTCAACAGGACGATGTGGACCCATAGGTGGAACATCATATAATTCTTGAGGTTGTTGTTCCATACTTGACCGATTTGATTCACATAAACTAGACATTGACAAATTCAAGCTAGTCTGACTGCTTGAAGGTGAAACATTAGATGATGATGTAATAGATAATTCAGAAATTCCACTGGAACATTGTGAAAGAGGAACATCATATGTATACTTTGGATGACTGGAAGGTGGAATATCATAAGCATTTGTAACATTTAAAAGAAAAACTGATGGTACATCATATGATTGCTTATCTTGAACTGGTCTTGGTGCAGGAGGAATGTTATATGAAGAAATATCTGCCTCATCAATACTCTTTGGTACATCATAAGCACTTCCCAAGGAAGAGTTATCTGATAATGGTGTGTGTGATCTCAAACTATTAAAAGGTGAAATACTTGATCTTGGAATATCATATACTGGCTTATTTGACTTTGGTTCATTGTACATTGCTTGTTTCTTTAATAAAGTTGGACTAGGTGGATTATCAAAAGAATTCACTATAACAAAAAAATACAATTATAACCATAAAATTCATATATATATACAATATATTTAAAAAATTAATTAATATAGTTTGTGTTAATTCAGAACCTTTTTGTGCTTGCCAGGTACGAGATATTGTATGAGTTGGAGGAACATCATAATTTTCTGTCAATTTAGCACTTGCTGGAACATCATAAAGATAAACATTACCAATTTTTTGGGGTGTTACAACCTATTTAAAAAATAAAATCATTATTAATTGTATAATTCTATCTTGCAAATTACAGTATATGCTTTTTATAAGATCAATTTTAATATTTAAAAATTGCAAATTATTATCTGTATAATTTAATTATTTAATATTAAAAATATTTAAAGAATTGCAATTAAAATTTGTTATTAAACATTAATTTACAAAGATATTTGTATACTAATTATTAAGTAATTATAAATGATAAAATCAATATAAAATTTGACAATGAATTTCATAATTGATTATTTGAAAAACTTTAATCTATTCAAATTGATAATTATATTAAACAAATTAACTATATTAATAAAGAAACTAAAACTTTGCAAAACAAAACAAAATATTAAATTATATTAAAATACTCTTTTGTAAACATTTACACATGATGATTAAATCTTTTAATTAAGCAATCTCTAGTAAATTACATTTATAAGAAGTTAAAAGCCATTAAGAGTTGTTATAAATAAATCTGCATATAAAGTGATTTAAAATAGTTAAGAACATTTTAAAAATTTATTTATTTTTTAAAATAAAGCATATTATTTTCATTATTTCATATTTAAGAATATTTTTAGTAGTCTACTTAATTTTCATTTTTTAATTTTACTGACTTCATTAGATNTTTTTTTATTTTTTTAATGCTCGAACCGACAACACGCAGTACTAGGTACGTTTTAAAAATTATAAACGAAAAATAGCTATTTTGAAAATATAATTTTATAAATCTTACGATTTTTGGTTTAAAATTCTTTTGCTATTTTCGATTAATTTTATTAAATTAATGTAGTTCTGAGAACCAAAATATTATATTTCAATTTGTATCTGCTTTCTAATTTCAGTTAAAATGACAGAGAAAAGTTTTTTAAAATGTATCTTAATAGAAATAAAAAGAGCGTTTGTATTGCGGATTTATTACCTCATCACTTACAGGGCACGAAGCGATCATTCAGATAACAAAAACAATTGTATCAATTACTTTTCATGGCTACGTATTGTATTCATTCACAAAAACTGGTGCCAATGATTCTAAGTTCTAAAAAAAATGGTTCGGTTTGGAATGATTTCGACGTAAAACCTAAATATTTTGCGTTTTTATGACTAATGACCATCAAATAATTGAGAATATAAAAGAATTTTAACGTCAAAATAATACACATGCTCAAATACGATGTACTGCTTAAGGGACAAGGATAGAATGTAGTTCTCTTTCAGAATATGAATGATTTTGGGTAGGAAATCAGGGATTCAGATCTACACGTTGCTTTGTATAGGCTCATCATATTCCACATCTGGATATTTGTTGGTCCTATCTCGGTGTTTGTAATGTACTGTACTAGATCGAAGGAATCGCGAAAGAAAAGATGTTAAATTACTCGCGATTTTCAGGAAAAGACATCAACTGCTTTCAATATAAAATCGATTTTCAACTGTCATCAAACGGCGGCTTTTGGATTTCGACAATTGACCTATGTGATTTAGCGTCACATTACATTTTCTGTGCAGTAACTTTTCAGTAAATCATACAGATGATAAAAGTAAATCGCATTCTTATAATATTACATATATTGTTACATTAAAAATGTAATTTAATAAGATTTATTTAGTATTTATATTTTATAACATTAAACATTTGATTGAGAAGCATTAATTATAATGTAACGTATGAAGAAAATCTATTAGATATTGTCACCAGATTGTTTTCGTTACTGCATTTCACTGATAATACCTCCGTTACAGTAACTTTAAAAACTATTAATAAAATATGCTCTATAATTTAATAGCCTACTCAGAAAAGATTATGACTTTTTATAATCCATAAAATACTGTGATTAAAATTTTTTATGAATAAATTATAAATCTTATTGATTTTGATTCAAGATAATAAAATAAACATAAATACTGAGAATCGCACATAACCAATTTGAATATCATAATTTAAAGACTAATTTTACGTTCTGTGAAGTAAAAGTACTTGAATGCTTAAAGTGATGAATGATTCATTTTAGAAATAGTGAAATATCTTAATTTTCGAAATAATTTTATGATTTCGAACTATACTAAATTTTTCAACTTATAAGACATACCAAAAGAAAAAGCATAATTGGAAAGATATAAGATATCAAAATGTAGTCAACATAATCGAAAATAAATTTATTTCAACAAACGAGAATTACCTTAATCCATCATCTTGATTGCAAAGTCATTTTTTTATGTCACTCAACAAACGATTAATACAGAAAATTCTTTTGACAACCATTCTTAATTGAACTGTCAAGTTGATATATTCAGAAAAACAGATTTAACAATCAAAATCAATCAGACTCAAAGAAGAAACTTGTCTACTTCAATTCAGAAAATCCAAGATACTTAACACAGTATTGGGAATTGACTAACACTGAAGCAACTTTTTCTTAATGTAATTTTTAGAGCATGTTATATTTATAATTAAGTTATTCAGAGATGTAAGGTATTGAATAATGGATAACATCTCACATTCAAAAAGAAATCTTGAGTATAGGCTATTTATTTGCTGTTTATAATAAAAAGTGTCTTATTGAGTTAATTGCGGTAAAATGAATACTGTATAAATACAAAATAAGGATAAAATAATAAAATACAGTATCATGAAAAATCATTGATTATTTTTGCTTTCTTGTCTTTTCTTTCATTTTGAATAATTACAGAACATTATTTATAATCTATAAATATTTACTTAAGTCAGTTGAAAAACCATAATATATCATCATATTTTAAAATTAAAACCATAATATATCATCATATTTTAAAATTTATCCATTAAAACTTAAATTTTGAACAGTATCAAACTTATTTGCAATGTTTATAATTATAATTTCATAAAGAAACTTCTAAGATATACACATTTTTGAAAATAGTTTAAAATTAAAATCACTTCAAATAAAAATACTTTTTAAAAATAAAATTAAAGATTTTTTCATTTTAATCTTATTATCTTCTTATTTTAAACACTCTATATAAACTATTAGTGTATTAACAATAAGCAATAAATGAATGTCACAATTTTAAAGACTAAACAATTTTCTATTTGATAAATTTTAAAAATTATATACAGTTACATTCCTTATATTGTAATTATCACAGATGACATTAAATCAGTACAATGTAATTCATTGTCTTTCAGGACTGATAATAGACTTTTTGTACTGTTGGCAAAGAACCCAATTAAATATCAAAGTTGTCTGTTTTCTTTCACTTTCATTCATACAGACAGATTGCCAGATATGTAGTCTCTGCTCATAATTTTCCCCACTATGAGGAAGTTAACATTTATTACCAGAGCAGTCAACAACATTAAATATCACACTTCTCTTGTTTTCTTCACTATATTTTTTTTAGAACTTTCATTTTTTTAATTATTATCATTTGAATTTTAAGGTTTACAATTAATAAAAAATAGTTTTAAAAATATTCAAAATTTTAATGTTAAAAAATAAAATAGTTAAAATTTAAGGAATTTCATAAATATAAAATATAGTTTTATGATTAGGAAAGTGACATTATTGACTTTTTTCTCTTCTGTAAATAATCAATAAAACATTTTCATCTGTACAACGCTTTGCTGTTTACATAAAATTTCATTTTTCTAAAAGTTTTATGTCCCGTTATTTTTTTAAATTATTGAATAATTTACCAAATTAGAAATTTATAAGTCAAGGAGTATAGCTAACGCTTTTTTCAGCTCTCTCTCAACAGCGGACAAGACAACGTAAACACAAATAATATTCCATCTTTTCAAGATTAGATTCTTGTAAACTTCAGCCTATATGAAATACATATTAACATAATAGAATTCTAGCTGAAGTTTTATATAGAAACTCAACAATTCTGGTTAACTAAGTGAGTAAATATAAAACAAAAGTAATATTAGACCTTTTAAGATTCGGAAGGAAACATACAATTAGAAAGTTATAAAAGAATTCTAAACTGAAACGTTAATAAGCTCAACTAATCATTCTATGATTCAATACCTTTCAAACTTCAAGCACAGTCCCTATTTTAGAAAATTTAGGGTCGCGAATAATCGAAGATGAGATAATTGGATGGTGTCAGCGTAATAATGACAGAGCGAAAATATTTCCCATCGTCTAGAAATGAAAAGCATATGTTATGTTTTTCTCTTTTTCACTGCTCCACGTTGCTAAATATTTTTACTCTTAGTTAACAAAACTGCAAAATAAATGATTAGTAATTTACTTACCATGTTGGCATTTGTTTGCCAGCTTCTTCTACGGGAATGACCTTCTGTATAACCCATACCTGTTGGGTCATACATACCAGGAATAAGGCGTAATCTGTTACCTGGTGCAATTCCTTGTCTTCCTCGAAGACAACATAACCACCATCCTTCGAGGTCGTTTGTATTTTGCTCTAGAACAGTTAATATATCTCCTTTACGAAAAGCTAATTCATCTGGGGTTTCAGCAATATTATCGTACAGTGCCTTGGCCAGACAATTCTGCGAAAAATAAAATTAAAAAAAATTAAAAGTACAATAATTATTAATTAAATGAATATTGACCTACTAATCTAAAACATTGAAGATTATTAGTTGCTAGGGGGGAAAAATGTTAATATTGTAGTTCTTACTCTTCAAAAACAAGGTACTGATTGAGCATGTTTCTTGAAAATACGTACATTAACATCAATTTAAATATTTCAATCAAAATGGCAATGCCAAGCACAGCTGGTTAATTCATCTATGTCATATATAATCCATGAGTTAAGTTGTGTATTTAACTTAGGCATTTGTATGTATTTAATGTTTTATTTTATTCAAGCATAAAAACAACTTTTGACAGAAGAGGAGATAATGATGAAAACGTGAGGAAGATACTAAGAATTATTGATTATTATTAGAAAAACAAAAATAAATTTTCATCAAATCTCGTTAGTTACAGGAAGCTAAACCATGTATTTATTAAGTAATTTTTTTTTATTTTAAAAACATAAGTTACATTTCAATTCAATTACAATATAAATTTTAAAAATTATATACAGTTACATTCCTTATATTGTAATTATCACAGATGACATTAAATCAGTACAATGTAATTCATTGTCTTTCAGGACTGATAATAGACTTTTTGTACTGTTGGCAAAGAACCCAATTAAATATCAAAGTTGTCTGTTTTCTTTCACTTTCATTCATACAGACAGATTGCCAGATATGTAGTCTCTGCTCATAATTTTCCCCACTATGAGGAAGTTAACATTTATTACCAGAGCAGTCAACAACATTAAATATCACACTTCTCTTGTTTTCTTCACTATATTTTTTTTAGAACTTTCATTTTTTTAATTATTATCATTTGAATTTTAAGGTTTACAATTAATAAAAAATAGTTTTAAAAATATTCAAAATTTTAATGTTAAAAAATAAAATAGTTAAAATTTAAGGAATTTCANACAGCATTTACTAATAATTACATTGTACATTGTTTAAAAAACTGAAAATTTAATTCTTTAATAAACAGTTATTGTATACCCTTTGTCATTACTTAATTATTTAGTCAAATATTCAATTACTTATGTAATATATGTGTACAGTACATGTATATGTTTATTTAATATATAGATAACATGTATACAGTAATAATTAATGGGTTCGATAATAAAAACCTCATTTAATTTATTTTGGTTTAACTATTGAAATCTGGTTTATATAATTTCAGTTCATACTTTCAAAATCTTTATTAGTCTTTGATTTTGATTAACTTCGTATCGAATTTATTTTGAAATTATTCTAAAAATGTAGAGCATAAAACACTGACTAATTAACAAAATAAACTGCACACGATTTTGAAATATTCATGTAGAAAATTCCATTTTATATGATTCACGAAGGATAAACTTGCACGATTAAAGTTTAATGAAACTGGATATAAGCTTTCGGTAGAGGATAAACTAGGCCAAAAGATGGTGGGAACCACCGAACAATTTTAAATCAAGCGAGATCATCTATTATTGGGTCAGTCAACAACGGCTACGATATTATTAAACTGACACCAAAAATTCAAAGCATCCAATTCTGTTTAGGTAGGATGCCTCAGCATTTCGACTGCATTACTCGATAATTTATGCTATAAATCTTTTATAAATACGGATAATAAAACTTGCCTTAATCCATAATTAATGAAAATTTAATACTATATATTTTGAACGTTATGAATAAGAATTTATACTAAAATCTTTTATCTAATCCATTTTAATAACTACTTTTTGGTCTTACACCGCCTTCAACGGTTACTTCACAACCGATAAATTATAATTAATAAATGAGATATTAATGAATTATTGCTCGCATCCATTGCAGCTGATATCGATATACGATGTCGGCATGTAGTAAACTTTAAAGTTAAGGTTTCCTATTTAATATTTACGCGTTGCAACTAAAGTTAAGATCATGCATCATCTAGAAAATTACCTCGACATTCATTCGACAACTGCATATTATACTTCGATCGACACATTAAATATTCAGTCGATACTTTGCTAAGAGCCGAAGATTAATTTGTGAAGAAGAAAAAATATAATACAAAACTAGTTGTTTTTCCCCCTCACTTAATTTCGACTGAACTGAAAAGATTTTTTTTTCTGAAGAGAACAATGGCACCGCAAAGGGGACCGAAAAATAGCCCTTCCAAATCACGTGCCTAACCTGACGTCATATTCTAGGGACTACGCTAAGATGAGTCATTTCATCATATAGCACGTGCCGGAGATCAATTTCGACACAAGTCTGGTCGGGAGTTGATTATTCAAAGCATAATTTTAAGAATGAAACACGAAATAGTTGTTTATATAAGAAGGGAAAACACCTATTATTGTGTGAAAGAAGGCGTTAGTGTTGATGTACACAATTACGATTGTTTTGTTTAAAGACAGCGTGTTTCTCTTTGGCGGCACACCTGATGTTGGAGATTACGAGATTTTTTTTTAGTTCAAGGTTACGGGGTTCTCCCTTACAGTAAACATTGACCTATGTTGTCTACTGCATTCTTCCGACTGAGACTGGTAGTGTTATTTGTCCCACAGTGATCACGTGTCACCCACTGTTAATGGTTGGTAGCGGGAATTCTATTATGTCAGAATACAGCATTCCCAACTTTTATCTGTTAACAGCAGCCAGGAATTTAACTATAAAAAATGTTCTATATCTCAATTACAGGTTAAAAAAAACATTCAGAGTACAATATACTATCATTTTGTTTCAGTTCAATGGGTGTTCTGGGAAAATTTAGGTTAAAGACTTTTTTAAAATATTCTAGGAAATAATTCCTTTCATGTTTTATGTTTATTTTCGAAAACATTTATTAAATTTAAAGCAAAGAAAATAAATTAAAACTCGACTAAAATTTGTCGAGTTCTTATATAATATAATAAAAAGAGGGGGAAAAATTGATTATCCACTAAAAAGAATGTTTAAGTAGTCTTCAATCCCCAGCTATTTGATCCATTTTATAAATGAGGTCAAACGGCAAGATAATAATTATCCTACTAATAAAATCATATTAACTTTATTAATATGATCAGGAAGAAAAACTGCAGCAATCTTCCATTCCTTACCGGTACACTAAATGCATAAGAAAAATAATTGTCTGTTTTTTAAATTTCGTAAGCAATATAATCTTATCAAATTGCACATAATAATAAAAGATAACACTTTAAAATTGATAAGGGCTTCTTTCTCGGAATAAATATTACTATATTTAAATAGGAGTTTACTTTTTCTTCCTTTTTTTTTTCATTTTACGTGCGAACAATCGACCAAGAACATGTCTTATATTTAGTGATATCATTGAACAAAGTGAAGGAGATAGCATCGAGACGGCATAAAGTGGCAACTTGTCACGTGCTCTGTCGGTCTCTATGGTAACGTCACGTGATATATCTCGCGGAGAATTGAATTGGTTTTGTTCGAATCATTTAACCGTATTATAATAATCGCGACCGAAAACACGAAAAAAATGTTCTGACTAATGAAATCAATTAGTAAATTTAAAAATATATATATATTTTTTTCTCAAATTCTAAACGTATTTCTCATTGATATTTCATAAAATCTTACAAAATTATTCTCCGTTTTGATAAAATATCAAATATCATAAAGCTTGTGACATAATCTGCTCTAACGCAATATAGATCTATGGAAAGTGTCGGGTCAACGTCCATTAACAAGAGTAGAGATATGTGAATATAAAAAGTTTTGTTGGTTAACGATAGGCGATTTAATTGGCTAATTGCGACCAATTATCGATGTTTAGTCAATAGAAACAGCGCACATACTTTCCTTTTTTTTATCTCTACTCGACTTCACTTATCGGCAAATTCTCAATGTAGAAAGGAATACCATATGGACGTTTTCCGGTGCAGTGTCACTTTGACATCACAAAAGGCTTATCTACTGTTAATTCTAACCTCTCCACATACCGTGCCTTCTCCAGTAACAAACTTAAGTACATCCTTCGAATGTGTGAAACCTCAAGCACCATTTGCCCGCTGAGAGGAAGATTCACCTCTTAAAGGAGTACCATTTGCCTTAAGCTTAAACGATGTAGAAGGAAAATTTTCCCACTGGTATTACGAAATGTGACGTCAGAGCTTCACGTGCTACATAACGCTTAACGCTTCGCATCTAAATGGATAATAGAACAGCTGTTTTTTTTCTTTTTTTAATGCTCGAACCGACAACACGCAAATATGCATGTACGAGGATTAACAGAAATTCAATTATTTAATTCTTACCAATCTTTCACGCCCCGGTGTAGAATCCTTGGCTAAATTGCAGCAATTCGACGGAGTGGGCAACATGATGTAAACCACAATTTTCGTTGGTTTCAAGTAAACATTATCGTTCGACTTTCAGCTTTTACATGATGGCTCCAAATGCGAAACACACGAGTTAACTATATTCTCGTAACACATGTTAAATTTACATAACTAATACTGTTACTAGTCTTACGTTCTGCCAGCAGAAACGTAGAACCTTAGGTAAATAGGTGTGCACTCCTTCCTGCTTAGACCACGGCTAACAGCGACGATTTGCTACACCGCGCCTGCATGACGTCATCAATCTCGGGTCACGTGACTGAAAGAAGCGCCATTCGGGTCGTACGTGTGGGAAGACGTGGGATGAAGCCTGTGATTGCCAGTTGCACTTCGTCATTGAGGTTGACTTACAAATAATTTTATTGTTCCATTTTATTGTCGAATGTCGGCGGTACTCCACGTATGATAATAATAATAATAATAATAATAAAATTACGCTTACACAATTATGTTTTCTGATTATAAAACGAATAATTTATCTCCATTAGTTTAATATTCCGTCTGTGATATAAGAATATGCCTGTTATTCTATCGTTGATTTTGTTTCGATTGTAATACAATATCCGAGTACAAACTGGTTGCTGAAAGGATCAAATTCTGTGAAACGAAACACCGTTGAAAATAAATAACGGTTCATTCCACGTATTCTTTTAAAACTATACTTAATTTTTTTTTTTTACTTTAAAATTTAAATTTTTTTTATATTTTGCTTCGAAAAGTGCATGAAAGATGAAACAATAATATATTAAGGAATACGAAATTGTTTTTAAAACTTGCTGCAAACAATACTGATACGTCCGTCCTTCGTGTGTTTAGCTCATAGAAAGTAAAAAGTGCTAACGCATCTTGCATTTTACAGTTAATCATTTGCATTTATGATAATTAATAAAACATTTTCTTAAATGTAACTGTATTTATTTTCATATATTTCGCAAGCCAAAAGGTGTATAAAGGTGATAAATGAAATAATGTTTTAAACAACATCCGCTCGGTGAAATACGTGGAGTAGAATACATAACTTATTCGAACTAGAAACAGTAACGAATTAATTGTTGCAACAAGAATTAATCGGCTATTACTACTACTACTAATAGTAGTAGTAGAATAGTATACTTGTATGTTTTAAATTAAAGTCTGCTTATTTAATACATGATTTATCGTATTACATTTGACACTGAAACTACATGCGGATTATGTAACACAGAAATATTTTAATTTATTTAAAAACTTTAAAAAATAAATATAAAAAACTGGAGTAAAAATCGTATTTTTTCTTTTTTTATTTAAATCCTTTATTAAATTATTTACTTGTAATTTTAGAATAACTTTTTTGTTTGGATTGAAATTTTTATAATATAATAAGCTTTTAAAATAAAATAAATAAATTTTAAAAATGAACTGATCAATGCTTGTTTGCATTTAATTCAAATGCTGGATTTTTTTAAAAAATAATCGATTATTAAAATCGATAGTTTGGTTTTTTTTAGAAACAACATACTTGCGAAGTAATAAATCAATTGCTGAAACGCTTTCAATTAGGAAATCAAAAGCTTTACTTCTTTGCTTTTAGTTACCATTGAAAAGCATAATTAACGAAATCGATTAAACAGTTTACATGATTTTCAAAACGATTAATCACTCGAATTTAATTAGTTTATACTTAAATGTAATTAGGTACGATCCTGATCAGAGAGTATAAATTGCTGTACTCGGTTATAAAAATGGTATTTTGAAAAGTCTTTTAAATTTCTTTTGTTTGTAACGATTAATCAGTAAATCGAATGAAAATCGATTATAGAAAACGATCATTTCCTGAATTCGATTATTAAAATTCGAATTTTCAATTGTCGGATTATAATCTAAATTGATAGCGGAAATTTCTCTTATCAATTCCGTGGAAATGATACGTTGTGCAGGCAATTCCTAATTGATGTTTATGGAAAATAGAACGATTCGGATTCAAGTAAGCCGACAGTGAGGGTGTGGATACCTCCTGTAGAGAGAGTAAAACGTCGGCAAGTGGTCGGAAATGGAGGGATCCATTCGGCTGAAGAGGGTAGACAGAATGATTTATCTGTTTGGAGAACAGCAACAGATGATAACGTTCAACTTCTGTTTGATGTCGGGATGTAACTAAATAGTTTAACAGACCTTTAATTGCTCATTTTCCTGCATTCTTTTATTCTTATTGATTTACATTAAACTCTATAATAGAATCCAGAGATCGGAATTAACCGGAAGAACATATTTACTAGATGTCTGAGTGACAAATACTTCCGGTATACTCTCCTCGGTGTTTAATGTAGCGTGAGAGGGTATTGCTAATATTTATTCCGGAAAAAAACTATAAAAATATATTTTTTTTCTTTAATTCTTAGAAAACAACTTTTTATATGCATTTCTATTATTCATTCGTGAATGATGTTATGCCTTTCGCTGACAGCGAGAGAGGATGGAGTTTTGAAAATGATGAATGCTGGATTTATATGTCTAAAATTGGAATTTATAAAGGGAAATTGATTTCTCTTCGTTGACGGAATAGTTACGCAAATTTTATGTATTTTCCCACCAAATGCGATGAATCATCTGACAATTTATACTTAAGTCAATTAAAATCGATTGAGTACAATGCGTCGAATTCATACATTACAAATTGCATAATGGTCGAAGATCATTCACTTTCGGATGCTTGCAATTCAAACCATTCAAATTCGAAAATTGATCCCATTAACCGAAAGCAAAAAGCCACATAAATAGAATTAGTAATAATCATACCAATTTTGAGCATGGAGAAATCAGCGCGAGATTGAAATTGGACTTGTGCAACTTGTGTATTTTAAATTAATTCCTTGCATATCTATTACATTTTCTGACGTTTGTAACGAATCACAGGATAAATATTTTCCACTCTGTTACATATTTGAACGAATTCATTCAATCTACTCTAACTTACGTCACTAGTGACTCACTTCCTGCAAGCTGAAGAGGCTTTATTGCCGGTTTGCTCCCTTTCAGGGGTAGGTGGATAAAACTGTTGTATCTCTACATTCGGTATATGTGTCTTTTCGTTTCGTATTGCTGTAATACTCCAGAGGAATAAAAACAGATGGAAAAAATTCACCCGGATCTAGTATCAAGGACAATGTCCCCTGATTTTTCTTTTCTTTTCTTTAGCCAGAGGCGATAGTCACAACCATAAAATAATCTTCCACTTTTAAAAAATAACTTCCTGTTGTATAGTTGGAATGTCGTTTGCTATGAGAAAACAATGGAGTGGAAATCGTGCGATAAAACCCAAATGTCAAGTTTTAGCTGATCATTTACCTCATCACTTATAAATTATGCACAATGATAATTATTATTATGAAAATACAAAAATGCATTCTAAAAAATTTTTAAAAAAATAAAACAGTGTACGACTTACTTTAATTCGAGAATTTAATTTTTTTACATGATAAAACACATTTACTCCTCAATTGGATAATGGATAAATGTTATTTGAGAAATTTCTTATTTTCCCAAGGGACCGAAAAGAGAGGAAATTTAAGCTTCCTTTTCCAGCTTCCTCTTCTTTATAGAAAAATTGTTATCAATTTTTATACATTAAATAATTTTAATAAAATGATAAACTTTTATTAAATTTTTGCATATTTCAAATGCATTAATTCTTACTATTGAACAAATTTAAATTATAAAAACGATTATTTAAAACGTGGTTATTCTTATGTAGAATTCATGTTTTTTATAGTAGTAACATGCATAAAATCGAATTTATATTAAATTTTGGAAGCTAGAAAATGACGTTATAAATCGGGTAATATGTAAGAACTGGATAGAAATTTGTGGTGAGAGGATGTTTCTGACAAATCTCTGCGGGGTTGCAAAGGAAGAGATGGGAGTTGTCAGCCCCGGATATATAATAACCGCTGTGCTGTCTCGCACGTGTGTTCACTCACATCTTGAAAACGTTCGTTCACCTACCACAACTGTATAAAAACATTTTGCTTTCGGTTTATTTATTATTATGCTTTAATCAAGCATCATCATCAACCATCATTCGTTGTTCATTTCCTGTAGGATATTATTACTCCTAAAAACAAAGAGATCTTTATAACATGGATTCCTAAACAGTTCGGTAATACTTCTTTGATTATATTTAAAGAATGAAACGATCAATAAATACTCTATATGCAAATGTTAGGCATTCGAGAAAAAAACATTAAAATTCTGTTAAGCAATTTGAAACTCCCACCGTAATTTATTGAACAATTTATTTTCATTTTAGAATTTAGATGCTAACGTGATAGCAAGTTCGCCAATACAGTAAATGAACAGATTACTATCGAGATAAGATTTAAGTCTCCTGTTAGATGAATGATCTCGGTAACTGTTGGCTAAAAATGGCATGTAAAAAACTAAAAAAAAATAATATTAAAAAAATCTTTTAGTGATAGATGACTAAATTAGAGTCTATGTACTTTTAAATAAGTCTATTTACATATTCAAAATTTATAGTCAGTGGTATTAGAGAATGAAAGTATATCCGATTCCTGTGTCCTTGATCGAACTTCCTGAAATATTATATCTGAATATTTATTAAATACATATCTTAAATTTCGATAATTTTGTATGATTAACGAGAAATTTAGCTAATAAAGATTAAATCATTCACAAATTATCAGAGATTTCTGTGGGAAAGGATTCGCTAGACCTTTCCTATGTCATCCCCATCTACACATTTCCCAGAATCTGGCGCCATATTTAATATCTGAGAACACAAGTCTTTTTTTCCCTTCATCCGTGACCTCTAACCCAAACTGTCTCATATTCCAGTAGAAACTATAAATAGAGAACAGAAAAAGGGAAATCTCAAGACTACTAAATAGTCGGTGGTCTTATGGTGTTCTGTGTATTGTACCTGTCAAAATATACAACACACCCTATTTTGGTATTTATTGTTTTTTTATAGTTTATTGAGAATTATGTTTATTATTTATATCGAATATTTCTACAAAAGAGTTTTATAAATGAAATGATTCTCTTTAAGGTCATAAAATAAGGGTCAAGTTTCATTTAAAATTATGGAGTAAGTAATTAAAAAATAGCAGACTGTAGCAATTACTTTATTAAATATTATACTCACTTTTTTGCAAAAAAAAAGGTTATAATATAAATATTTTTTAATTAAAACATTTAAATTAATATTATTTCCTAGTTTTATTATCTTTGTGGCCTTTAAATATCACCAGATTTAGCGTAAACATGGCGTATTCTTTATGGTTAAATAAACATAAAACAATAAAAAATAATAATAAAATTAATTCACTAATTTGCTTTAAACACTTCTCGAGATGCTACAGTACATAACATTACAAAATAAATTAAAAATTTAATAAATTTCTTACCGGATAAACAGATACATAAAGACAATAAAGATTACTTTGCTTGTCCCGGATTTAGCTGGCAAAACATTTCACTCAAATGTTTTGACC